GGAACCCTGGGCTGGGGTCCCAGCGTGAGGTTGGGACCACACTCACTTCTCCAGGGGGAACCTCTGAAGCCGAGATATCCCTCCCCATTCTCAACTGACACACGCAGGACCTACCCATTTCGCATCTCCACCAGTCTGGAGGAGGTGGAGGTGGCCACCTCTGTATGTCCCCAGTTGCAGGACTTCTGTTCAGCCAGACCTTAAATAATTCCCAGTGAAGATTATTTTTTAGTTAAGTTGCAATTCTGATGTGGTCATGAGAGGCAAACAGTGTTTACCCAATTCTTGGATCAGAGCATTTTTATACCTTTCCCAATCTAGGTGTCTCATTCACTTTTGATGTCTTATCACCATCAGAGTTAATCTGAGTTTTAAGGCTAATTTTACTTTCAGGCTTTTAGTCATCCTTTATCTTCTATTTTCCTAAAATCATATCCCAATTGGGTAAAAGGAAACAGAAGGGTAAATTTTGAAAAGATGGTTTCGGTTTTCAGACCTTATAATTCCTATGTTGCCTTTTAATATAGGAGGGAATGTATCCTTGCAAAGAGCATTTCAATGATCAAGAAACAATGTATTTGTAAGGCACATTTCTTAGGTCCTAAGGTTCTAGCACAGAACACATTTATTCAATATAATATCGCTAAACTGTATTTCAAATGGATTCACCTTTCTTGCAGATGTTACCTTTTTAGAAAAACTGTAAGCTTGTAGTATTCAAGGTGAGCTAAAGTAAAGCAGTGGAAAAACAGGTGATTAATACATTCTGTATGCTTACAGAACTGAAAGCAGTAACTCCTTTTCATTAATTCTTAACAACTACATACCTCATAAACCTACAGAATTCCAAGAACTGGAATCTCTAAGAATTTAGTTTGTGTCTTGTATAAGTTACATATAATTTAAGAAAAGAAGAATCAAATCAGTATACCTGTAGAAATGAGGTTACTTCAAGAAGTTTATGAGTGAATTCATTTCTGCTTCTTTTTTGAAGTGTTAATACTTCAGTACAAGAACGACGGCAGCACAACTTCCACAGGTAACTTCTACATTTATTTTATACCAAAAAAGTTATGTGCAACAAATAAACATTCTTACATATTTACATTTGGTTTTTACCAGTTAGCAAAACTGTCCTAATCTCTGATAAAGAATATTCCCATCTGTATTAGAGAGGAAATCTGCCTAGTGAACTCCATTTTAAATGAATGTTTACTCTGGAGTTTAAAGCACTAGTAATAAATATTGATGGAACATACTATACAGATCATATACCTCATACTTAGGCCATGCTTAATACAGTTTTACAACAAAACGTTACACCTTTTCTGAGCCAATTTGTCAAAAACATGTTTAACTAAGTAGCCTGAACTCTCACCCCTCCCTCCGTTTTGAAGGGTAGTTCTCACAAATTAGGAATCATACATGCTGCCTAACATGTTTGAATAGAGATGTTTTGCCAGTGCTTGCATGTTTGGGGAAAATACATGAGGACAAAAGTTGCATATTAGGTACTCCTTCCCAAATAGGTTACCAAAAATGATAGTGGGTTTCTTGTTGGCATCTGTTTAATACTGATTTTCACGATCTGTCAGCATTCATGGGTGTCAAGCAGTGGTACCAATCTAAGGTATGAAGTAATTGCTGAAGATAACTTTGCACTTTTGCTGAGAGTCTTAAAAATAAATATAAATGAAATATAAGCAAAGTAAGCCAACAAAGAGTGTAAATTTCACTGTAGCCTTGGTCCTGTATCCTACCTAGTATTAGATCCAAAGATCTCTTGTACCAAACGACAGATCTTTGTCTCTTCATATGAAAATAGTCAATGCTTTCACCGTCTTTAAAAGTAGTGGATTTAAGGAGAGGCTATATACATCAAGTAAAAGTAATTCCCGGCACACAGCTAGTTAAACCTGAGTTATTTCTCCAGAAGATTACCCTCACTGACAGCAACTAGCTGCAATAAAAACAAACAAACGAAATTCTCCAAACCACCTAGATTACCTAGAACTGATCATTTAACCACAACCTCTCTTATTTATTCAAATGATGTGACTATCAAGTAAATAAGAGGCTTCATTTGTTACAAATTATTTCAAAAACCAAGAAGCATGGAATTTCTGCTCCAAACAGAAATTTATTTTCCCTAATCTGCTCTTCAATGTTGGTGACTAATAATTTTGCAATGTTTAACTATTCAGTCTAACAGTCATCACAGTCCTCAAATTTTATAACACAGCATTTTCCCCACCTCTTCTGGTGTGGCATAGAGGGTGTAGGGGGGTCCCTAAATTCTCCCAGGGTAAAAATACCAAATAACACACACCAGGGTTCTTTCTGTTGCTTACTGATATAATGGCATTACAATGCTATTGTTCCAGGCAGAACGTGTTCACTGCTCAGTGAGAAAAAGGATATTAATTCTGGGTCATAGGAATGTGGCAAATTTTTTTATACAACTTAAACAGTGGTGTTTTCTCCCAGGCTTAGGAAAGCAAAGGAAAACTTGAAGGGTCTGGCTGAACATTTTTACATTTTCTCATCGAGTTTAAGACATTTGCAAGAATGCAACATCAAGACAAGCTTTAACTACACTCTGCTGATTGATACAAAATATGAAAAATCATATTAAACTGAGACGGGAGGAACCTATTTAGCACAATCAGTGCTATACACACCACAGAAGTCTTAACCATCAAGCCATTTCCACTATAGCTTAGAAATGAGAACCAGTAAATAGTTGGTAGAACTGGAAGCACTGCTACAACATGACCTCATTGCACAGTTCAACTTCAACATTAGGACTTGTTTCTCCATAAACACGAGACATCTAATCAATGTTTTCACAGTTCTTTAACTAATTTTAGAAATAAGAACAAAACAGGCATCGAAATATTCACATTCATGGGAAAAACATCAGCCTGGATGAAATCTGAATTAAACGATGTTATAAAACTGGTTTAAACTCAATAGTTCATTACAATTCAGATTTTATACCTGCTGTGGGCCAGGAGAATATACTGCATCAATTATGACAGTTGGAAACAGCTGCTGACTTTACACATATGTTACAGAGTAGAACCTGTCCTCTCCCTTCAAAAAGTAGGCAAATAAAGCACTCAAATCACTGGTCTACTTTTAACATGATGATTAATTGAATCGGACGCAAAAACATTGCTACCACTTCTCAACCTAAGAAATAGAATGATCATACAGAACCTTTCTACAGAATGCAAATCATCTACATCATGCTAAGAAAGGACATTTCTGCCCAAGTTCAACACACAATATTTGGTTTGAGATTTAAGACAGAAGGCACTTTTAACATTTTGATATCAGATGTTAACCATAGAAACGGTGTCACAATTTCATTTGGGTTTAATGAAATCACTTTTAAAAATTCTGCATTTGTGTAATTATAAGAAAGAGTAGTGACAACATTACTGTATTTCACCTTGAAATATTTCTACCTGTAGTGCTCCTCCTGATTAAGCAAGCTGAGCAGTGTGTTAGCTCTGAAGTTTACAGATCCAGGTTTACGATTTGACTCTGAAACAACTAACCTAGTCATCCAATTAGTGCAGAAAGAAACAGAAAACACTACAGGGCTACCCAAGAGCAATACTACTATGGAGTGAGTGGGCTTATACTGGTTATTTCAGGGTCATAATACTGTCTGTTTGACTGGCACCACTGTTAAGACAAAATATCTGCATGAAAATTCAACTGCTGTAAGAGACTTTACCTTAAAATGTCCAGCTATCCTCCAAAGAAATCTACCCATTTCCCCATCTCTAGTGTCCTGAAGGCCTTGGACTTAATGATTTATTTAGTAACATGACTCATTCTGTAAGGTTATAATTGATCCAGTTTTATGACTAGACATGTCTGACTTGAGTGTCCAAATAGTTCTTTCCTTTCAGAGGAAGGAGAGGAAAAGGAAACACTCCATTATTTTTGATGTCAATGCTGGACCCACAGCTGTCAGTCCTTACCACCCACAAGATGCTCTGTAAGGACCTACTATTTTCACTATTTCTTGAGTCAATGTTGAGCTGACAATTCATTGCTACTCTTCAACTAAACTGTACAGTAAGTTCTGCAGGGCTGGATCCAATAACTCTACCTTTATTTACAAATATAACATAAACAGATTCTAGTTGAATCTACATGTTTAAATCCATCAGCTAAAAACATATTACATATTGTAAACATGGCAATATTTAATACAGTATCTATTCTAAAATATTTTCATGTCATGATCACATTTGTTATACCTGAAATTGAATTTATACACAGTGGAGAATTACTAGCAATGGTTGCTCACTTTACAATTGAAGGAAGGGGGCTAGGGCTATATTTAATTATTTTAGAAACATCTTCAAAGTAAAGTTAAAGCTTGTCTTTGATTGGTTCGGCCTATGTTTTTTGTTTGTTTTTGTATCCATATTTAAAATGAAGATTGACACAGAAAATACCCTTCTAATTTACAAGATTTTAAAAAATCAGTTTAAGATTCTTAGGGAAAGTGTCTGTTGTAAATTAAAAAAAATGCTGCAAATAAACAACGGAAAAGGGATCTTCAGACTGTCAGAGTTCGTTAGTCCTGCTTGGGCTGCAGTTGCCGTTTCCAGGCCTCATTCAAGTAAACTAGTCGTTTGTAGTTGATGATAAGAAGAATGAAGTTCAGCACGTATGTGAAGACGCAGATGATGCAAAACTCCTTTAGCACAAAGTACAGAATGTAGGCTAGGTACAAAGAACCTACTACAGACACGATGGAGGATGTCATGAGGATTAAAGCTGCAACTGCACTTGCTGTCATGCCTGCAAGAGAAAGAGACATTTGGCTCAATCAGACCTAGACACCACAGAGGAAGTTTTTGAGTTAAAAAGGTAACAATTTGTGATTTGCTACAGTGTTAGAATACCGATCTTACTGCAAACACTATGAAATTTGAGAACAAAAACTACTGGCCTATTTTATTAAAATTTTGCAGGTTGACTTTGCATATAGAATACCAATTTTATAGCTGCAAAGGTTTTGACTTGTCGATATTCTAGAAAAAATATTACTTATTTCATAAACTAGCCTAACTGAAGGCACACAAAGAAAAATGCAGTCTTGCAATTACATTATACAATGAAGCTGATTTGTAAAACTGACAGCCCCACCTTTCTTAATGAAGAAAGGAACGTGAGGACCACAACCTTCTCTTCCAAGCAGGACACATTTTCCCTGGCCTTTTCACTACAGGCTCCCCATCTGTGGAAAGTAAAATTTGCTTTCCCATATTTAGATCAAATTTATCAAAAGTCCATAATGGGAGAAGATTACACCAACATGCTGCTGAAAAAGGAAAAAAAGAAATTTCAGAAAGGGCTCACCCTGGACGATAAGGGAAACCACATTTGGCCACTAGGCCACATGTAGGTCATACCAGATCAAGAACAAAGGCAGTTGGGTGTGTTAAGCTGGGGCCCTCATGACACAAACTTGCCGGAATTCTTGATGCTATCTGACATCTTTAAATGTATTGTTTTGTACTGAGAACATGCATTTACTTTCAGAGAGAGGAGAAAAAAGAGCATATTAAAATACCCAACAACTAATGGATGAGAATAACAGGAATAGAAAAAAATAATAGGTGATAGGAGGTTTGAAGAGGTTATAGTTAAGGAGCTGAAATCCCTGCTGCCTGTTAATGGGAAGTTGCCTGTGGGCTGCAGCCTAGCCACAGGGGCCTGACTCCAGTCAGTACTAGAAGTATGACATCAGTCATACTAGAAGTATGATGAATTAATCAGGTTCTTCAAGACTAAGATGCTGTTGGATTACCTATGCCAGGTACTGACAAATGTGACTGGCCACCTGCTTTTCTAAAGATTTATTGGAACCCAGCCACACTCAGTGTCTGTGGCTGCCTTCACACTCGAATGGCTAAGTAGTTGCGACAGCCAACAAAGCCTAAATTATTTTCTATCTGGCTCTTTACTAAAAAAATTTGTTTACCTCACCTATGCTAAACATCTAAAACTTCAAAAAATGATGCTATCACCTTAATGTTAACCTATGAAAGTTAGTTTCAAAATGATATGGACAAGTTGTTAACTGTAAAATTGGGATAATAATCATGACTATCTCCCCTAAGACTACTGTGTAGATTAAAAGAGTTAATAGTTACACTTGAAATGCTCCATAAATACTAGCTATTAGTTAAATACTTGTACCAAACTTGTCCTAATGTAACATAACTCAGGATAAAATTCCCAATGGAATTTAAAAGGTGCTATAACTCTAAATAAATGGAGTATTTTGCAGCTATAAGAATGAGGACACTTAATGTATTGCTGTGGAAAGATCACCACGATACATCAGTCAAGCAAAAAAAAAAAATGTATGCAGAATGGTGTGTATACCATCTGACTTTTATGTTTAAAAAAGGAGGAATATGCCTTAAGAAACTCTAATGATGACAACAAGCTACCAGTCAGGGATCAGAGGCAGTAGAAAGAGGACAGAGGGTGGCAAGGGTAGGACGGAGTTTTCAGTGTAAAGCATGTTTTCTTTTTCTTTTTTCTTTTTTTTCTTTACTTTTGAACCAGGTGAATGTATTACCTATGGAAATATTAAAGTGAAAATATTGTATCTCTAACAACTTAGAGGGGAGTAAAGATGATGTGCTCTGGAAACTGATGAGTTCAAATGTGCCTCCAATGGTAAAGACACTGACATTAAAAATGCACATGAATACATAAATATGAATAGGAATATTAACCATTGAAATGCAAGAGCAAAAAATGGATATAACTGTAAAAGTATAAAAACTTGTACAATCAAAATTCACAAAAGATAGGTTAAATGTTTGCAACAAATATGAAAATAGACTATTATGAGAAGCCCAATAACTAAATTGGCAATAAAAAGAAATTAAAATATAGTAAAATTAAAGTAATAGCTACTAATATGTAACTATTCAATTAGGTATTTTACAGAACACACTTTTAAAAAATGAAAGTAGATGAAGCTTTGGGAAACCTGACAATTGAAGGAAAAGCAAGTTTGCTAATACCTATTAAGATCCATTTAAAAATCTGATTTTTGACTCATTCCTCCCATGTTTGGAAATTTATTCTGTGGAAATAATTCAAAGAGGGAAGGGTATGTGTGAAGGGGATTTTAAACAAGTTGATCACCACTGTGTTACTCAGAACATGAAAAAATTTGAAACCCTGATGTCAACAACAACAAAGCACTTAAGAGGACAGACAATATAAGAGTTTGTATAAAATTAAGTGAAAAAAGCAGAAGGCAATGGAAATAGCAGATATGCAAAAGTGATGGAGCTATGGATATCGTTTACCATTGTTTTCTTAGTGCATATATTTAAAAATAGCTACAGAGTATATAAAATAGTAAGATAAAAGGTTTCCAGGGAAGACTGTTTGGAGTAGTAATTTCCTTGAATGGGACAGGTTTTTCTGATCATCATGAGATGCCACTATCCCTGATTAAACACCAACAGATACCAAAGTCAGCATTAGCATCATCAAAATCTTAGTGAACCAAGTTTCACAACACAAAAGTGTGTAAGAAACTACTGGTTCTATCATATGCTTTTATTTAATAAAGACACGCTTCAAGGCAAAGATACAAACTTCTAAATGGAAGGTAATAAAAAAGCTCATTTTTGTATTACTATATACATACTTACCAAGTAATAACTGTAGTATATAAAATATAAGTCCAAAGACACTGTTTGGCTGATTTAATACACCATCCTTTCCAAAAATGGAACCCAAAAGACCAAATCCTCGACCCCATCTGTAAAATAAGGAAAACCAGTAACCCTATATTTGAGTTTTCCTATTTTGAAAAATGTAAAATTATCTGAGAATGTCATGCCAATATACCCATCCGAATCTCTAAGATGCCAATTCCTAAATAGCCTTTTTTTCCAAAAGGTAAGACATAGTATTCTTTTTCTGATGTCATCAGAACGGCTAATTTGCAGGAGGCTCTTTCAATTTCAGCTAGGGTCTCTTAGCGGCAGCACCACTGACAGTTTATGCTCATTCTTTGTGTAAGGGGTGGTTCGGTGCATCACAGCATGTTTAGTAGTATCCTTGGCCCCTACCCACTAGATGCTAGTAGTACTCTGCCAGTTGTGGCCACCAAAAATGTCCCCTGGGGGCAAAATCACCCTCAGTTGAAAGTCATTGATTTAAGTTGTCCTATTCATTCAAAGCATGTAGACTGACAAAGGCCCAAGAACACATCTAACGTACACCTATATTTAGAGCAATTCCTTCTGGGAGACAACTGAAGGCCAACTGAACAGCTTCTGCACAACAAACGAAAGAGAGAGACTGCATAGATAAGGTTGGGGAACCATGAGAACACTCCAGAACCTGAGGAACCACTGGCTGAGCACTACCGTTTGTTTCCCCTGCACTTGCACAGCAGGTGAAACTCTATTCAGGTTCTCTGGTCAACCTGCAGGGCTGCTGCAGCATGTACCCAGCCAATCCTCCCGGAGCTAGCTCTAGCACGAACAGGAGGGCACCATAGCATGCGTGCAAGAGGTCCCTCCACCTGGAGATTGATCTGGCAGGTATGGCAGGGCGCTGGATAAAGTGCAGAGCTAGCAAAATGCTGAGGTATCCATTTGTAGGGCTGCCTTGTCCAAAGAAACTGCAGAGATACTGGAACACTGCTGTGGCCCACTGAGAGAAGGTACAGAACTGGCAAAGCATCACAGTACCCACAGGTAGGGCTGCTCTGTGCAGAGTTAGCGGGGCACTGCTGCCCACATACGTGGGGTTGCCCCAACTGAGAGGGTGCAAACGAGCGATGTGCAGTGGTGCAGACTCATTGCCCCATCTAGAGAAAGTGTGGAGCCAGCAGGGTTTTACGACACCTTCACTCAGAGCAGCCCCGCCCTGAACCCATTCCTTCTTGCCAGGCTTCACGCATCTGCTCCAACTACAACCTGCTTGCCAGAACCATCCCACACACAGTATACACAGAAGCTACTTTGTCAAGATTGGGAGAGCACTTCAAAGAGTTAGAAAATGTAACAAAGAACCAATCAGAGATGAAGAATATAATAACTAAAAAGAAGAATAAATTAGAGGAATCAACATCAAATCAGTTAATACAGAACAGATTAGTGACCTGGAAGACAGAATGGTGGAAATCACCCCAGCAAAATCAAAAGTGAATTCTAAAAAATGAAGAGAATAAGTGACTTCTGGGATAACATCTAGTGCGCTAACATTCACATTATAGGAATTCCAGAAGGAGAAGAGACAGAGAAAGTGACACAAAGTATATATGAAGAAATAATGGCTGAAAACTTTCCTAAGGGGAAGGAAACAGATCTCCAAGTTCAGCAAGCACAGAGAATTAGTTTCTAACAAGATGAACCCAAAGAGGCCCACACCAAGACACAGTGTAATTAAAATGGCAAAAGTTAAGGATAAAGAGTCAATTTTAAAGGCAGCAAGAATGACAAAATAAGTCACATACAAGGGACGCTCCAAAAGGCTATCAGCTGATTTCTCAGCAGCAACTCTATAGGTCAGAAGGAAGTGGCAGGAAAGAAAAGTGCTGAAAGAAAGAAACCTACAACCTAGAATATTACATTCAACAAAGTTATCATTCAGATTGAAGGAGAGAGTTTCCCAGACAAACAAAAAGTATTTGAGTTCACCAACGCTAAACTGGCTTTACCAGAAATGTTAAAGGGTCTTCTTTATGCAGAAAAGAAAAAGTCATAACCAGAAGTAAGAAAATACAAGAAAGAAAAAAAATCTCACTGGTAAAGGCAAATATATAATACACACAGTGAATCAATCACTTAACCCATTTCCCATTTGCCCCAAGAATACTCGCCAGCAATACTTGGCGCTGCAGCATTTACCCCAAGATAACTTGTGGATGACAGTACTAACCTTACCCCCAAAGTCTGCCATTATTATTTTCACATCGCTCTAGTGTATTGATAGTCTTTGGAAATAAATAGCATCATTCTATTTATAGCACTGTTTTTAGTAGTGGTATTTCCATTTACAAAATACAGTAATTCTTGATTGCTAAAATTGTCAAATCCTAGAAAACATAGCATTCCTATACGTGATGTTAAATGAATGCTGGCAGTGAGCTGCACTTGTTTTTTCTAAACAAGAAAAGGGTTAAAAAGCTAATATGAAGGTTAAAAGACAAAAGTAGCAAAATTAACTATAAATACAATAAACGGGATACACAAAACAAAAAGACATAAAACATGGTGACAAAAACAAGGAATGGAGGGGAAAGTAAAAATACAGTGCTTTTAGAATATGTTTGAATTTAAATGCTTATCAGCTGAAAATAGAATACTATAGATATAGATGGATATTATATGTGAAACTCATGATAACCATAACCTAAAAACCTACAAAAAGTAAAGAGAAAGAAATTCAATTAAAATGCTAGAGGAAACCAGTAAATCAAAAAGAAAGGGATCAAGAGAAGAGAGAAGAATTAAAAACAACCAAAAAAAAATTAACAAAACGTTGTAATAAACACATACCTATCAATAATTATTTTTTTTAGGTGAGGCAACCCTTGGTTGACCTCACAGATTGCAAGGACCTTGTCAGCTTACAATCCCTTATTTTTTATTTTTTAAGCCTACAGCACCTGGTCTTCCTAGGTGGTCTCCCATCCAAATAAATACACCAGGCCAGACCCTGCTTAGCTTCCGAGATTAGACGGGACCGAGCTTGTTCAGGGTACCATGGCCGTAGACTCAATTACTTTAAATTTAAACGGACTAACTGCTATGATCAAAAGACATAAAGTGGTAGAAAGGATTATACAAAAAATAAGACCCATCTACAAACTGCCTGCTTTACCTTCATCTGGTCACACACATTTTAAAAAGCATGCACCCACTTGTAAATTATCCAAACATCAGGAATTAAAACAAGGGGCTTACAGGCTTGAAAGAATATCTTAGGCTTCAGAACAAAACAAAACCAATTAAATACAGAAAATTTCTTTGCTCAAAACACAAAGATATTTTATGTTTAATGGAAGGTTTTGTTTGTTTGTTTGTTTTAAAGGAACACTTTAGAGACAAAAACTAAGCTGCTTGTGTTGCCTGAGGCAGGCAGGGCCTGGCTTCTCTTCCTTGAAGGCCTTTCACAAAATACAGATGCCGGCATTCACTGGCCTCGATGTTCACCCCTCCCCAAATCCCACCCCTCACGTGCCTGCCATCTGTAAGTGCAGCACCCTGGGCCCACCCTGGGGACAACTGGCAGGGGCTACAGTGCATCCAGGATGTGGCTAACCTTGGTGATCAGCTCCTGTCACTTTCCAGAGATAAGTTTCTTGTTCCCAATGTCCATGTCTTTCTTAAGCTTGCCAGTCACTAGCCACTCTGCTTTCACTGCTGACTTCAGCACCAGCTCCTTGACCTGTGCCTCCAGTTTGCATTTTGTTCATTTTGTCACACAGGTCAGAGCCCTCTGTCTACAGCCTGGATTGCAGCAGCACAGTCTCCCTGGTCAAGGCCTCGTGTTCCGTTTCCAGTCTCTTCTTGCCACTGTTGAGGGTGGACACATCTTGGGACTGCTTATACCTGCTGCCATCTCATGAAAGTGATGGCAGGGACCTACTCTCTTATTGCCCAGGGTCGAGACCTGCTCTGTGATGCAGGCCATCTTCATCCTGGCTTCTGCGGATGGATCCTTTGTGATGGAAAAGTCCAGCCTGATGTAGATGATGACCATGAAGAACAAGATAGAGAAAGCAGTCACCAGCACGGGCTTCTGCAGCATGGGCACCTTGCAGTGATTTCCTGATTGTGCTGTTCTACCAGATTTTTCTTGTAGGCAACAATCATAGGACGACCAAATGTGTCCAGGTAGGTGTAGGGCAGCTCATCTGGGACGTGGCTGATTTCACAGGGACTGTCAAGTTGGATGTTCTTGGCCCCTTCGGGCAAGATGATCTTCACAGCCAGAGAATCTATCTGCTCATCAAACGTGGTCCACAAACCTCATCTTCAGTGCATACTGGTCAACCAAATTATAGCAGTACTCATAGTTTAGGAGATTGTAGCCAACGATGTAATAGGTCTTCCACCCTCCAAAAAAGAGGGAAGCGAGACTGGATTTCCATCTCTATGGATTGATCCAAAACAAGGAGGTCGCTGGTGGAAACACTGCTAATCTCATCCCACTAATAAACATCACAGATAGTGGCAGGGAGGATAGTCTTAAAAGAACGATGGAGGGTATACCACTACCTGGTTGTCTCTGGTAATCACAGTGTGAAAAAGGCCCCTTAAGCACAGCCCCTGTTTGCTTTAAGTTCACATTTCTTCCACAGCAATATTATCCCAGTGAGAGACCTCGATGACTCAGGTCTTGCTGATGATAGTCAGGAACGGGCTGTTGTTCTCATAATGCACTTTAAAAGGATCATGACTATAAGCAGGGATGTTCCGGAAAGGTCCATAATCTAAGAGGTCCTCAGACCGTATCAGGTTCTCCAACTTGGTGCAGCCCTTCACATATTGAGAGGCAAGCTTCAGACACATGGTTTGTATCTTCACATATTGAGAGGCAAGCTTCAGACACATGGACAAGGAGAGTAGAAATAATGGTTGCCCTCAAACACCACAACTGTTTCTCTGACTGAGTGATTTGGATTAGATATGGTAGAAGCACATGGGTGTAGCCTATTTCCACAATGACTGGATCCTGAACCAAGAGCAAATGAAAGCTTGACCATGAAGAATATCCCATTTTACCCTTAATTTTAATTTC